AAATTCATGTGTTTTTAAGGGAAGCTACAGATAGAGAAGGCCAAATGGGATATACCCAGCATCAAGTGAGGGTAAAAAGACAGAAATTGGTCAAGCCTTCCCTCCATCATTCCTGACAGCTTAGGAAACTCAGGACATGCTTAAGTTGGTATCTATTTCTGCCTGGAACTAATCCTCCCTGAGCAAAGACTAACCCATTCAGGATCTTTCAAAGAGCAGTTTCACTGTAAACAGACTTCCCTCCCCAAACATTGCACCCAAACCCTTCTACTACCAAAATGCAACCACATGTCCCTTCAACCTCAGCCTAGATCAGCTCTGAATAGCTCTCTAGACATGTTCTCTAGGTTTTTACTCTCCCACTCTAATTCCTATCTGCCACTTGCTACTGCAAGCTATGGGACTTGGAAGCCTCTTCTCTAAGTTTTTAATTTCTCCCTGAATGCTTCTTTGGAAGGCAGACTTTACAGGCCAAGGGAAGAGAAGTCCTAGGCAGACTGGCCTCTGGTTCAGACAGTTTAGTAGGAGAAACCCAAAAGCCTTTCCTCCTCTTCCTGAGCTTCTGGGCAAGGAGGGCGGGATCTTGGGTTCAGGGTCTCAGTACCCCCTATGCCATTTGAGCTGCTTGCACTCATCATCTCTATTAATAACTGCCCTCCCTCCCCCCACTGCCAGTGCTGCCCCCACGCCTGCCCAGAGCTCAGGTTCTCCGGTCACAGCAGCTCACTTCTCCAAAGCTGCTGGACCCCAGGGAGAGCTGACCACTGCCTCAGCAGCCGGTAAGTCTCCAATACCATGGCCAGAAAGGTTGTTGGGATTCTCCCTTTAAGCGCTGGAGGCCACTCTGTTGACTGCTCTGTGTGGCTGTGTCTGCAGTAGTGATCCTTGATCCTAGAAGAGTTGTCCCCCTCCTCCATCTGTGTTCCGTTCCTAGCTGTCCAGTTGAGGGGAGTCACAGAGAGTTAGAGGGAGAGTCACCATGAGGTAGAGGGAATGAAGATATTGAAGGAGACACCGGGGGAATGAGAAGGGATTCTGAGAGCCTGGATGGAATAAAAGAATCTATTTGGGGGGGCCTTCTTGGTGGCACAGGATTTAAACTCTCAGCACTATCAAGCAATAACTAGTCACTACGGCATGAGGCATGAGTTCAGCCAGGGAGCTGACCCAGATGGCGAGGCAGACCTCTCCTGTCTCCCCCGTTGCTCCCCTCAGCAGTGTATTTCAATAGTTCTTCCTATTCTGCTCCCCACTGTCTCTGGTGATTTCTCTCACCCTCACACCTCTGACCTATAGCCCAGTTCTTGTATACATAAATAAAAATAAATTTTTTTAAAAAAGAATCTGGTTGAGGCTGAAAGAGTATATACTATAGGGGGAGTCCATTTAGTCCCTTGAACTCTGGCCACAGCAGTTCTCAGTAATTTAGAATTGTAGATTCAACTATGAGACAGAAATCAGGAGAAGACTACCTTTAGATATGTGCAAACTTTTGATAAGGAAAAACTGGTGTTTGTATCTTGTCCCAACTTGTTCTCCTCAACTGCCAGATGTTATTTATGTTTCTGTCCTCTCTCAACTACCTACTGCTATGATATTGCTGAATTGACATGCATCAAGGTTCAAATGCCCCTCATGCTCCCTCTCTACTTGAGTTCTTGGGTCTGGAGTGGGAATGACTGAAAGGGGGCCGGGGGG